AACCTAGTGTTTCTGTGATTCTGTGAAAGAGTATGTTCTAGTTGGTATCACTTTGAGTCTGTGTACACCAATAGAGCTGTTGAACCAGGATTCAGATCAGTCCATCAAGTTAAACTGTCCAGCCTGCAATTATTTCCCCTTATTGTATAATGTTATGCTGTTTGTTGGTTATGTATCACCAGTAAATGCTGCAATTCTTATGTTACAAGGAAACAAATGTTTTGTTTAACAAACATACATGCAAGACAGTCTATTCTTAGAGTTATTTCCATTGTTCATAGGTTTTGAAATTTTTTTTTTTTATTTTTGGTGGGATTTTTTGGTTAGAAAAACAAACTTGAGTACCACTGTCAGTCTTGGTTTGCTCCTCCACAGTAGGAGGAATTGCAGTACAGTGCCTCTGTCTGAGCTTTGACTGAAAGGGGTAAGCTTCAGAAAGTTCAGATAAAGTAGAGATTATTATAGAGCTAATTATTTGTGTAATGCATCAAAGTTGCACATCTCATAATCTAGACTAGAAAGAAAACAACCAGCTGTTATTCCTTGAAGTACAGTGTGTTGTATGTGTATCCCCATTCAAAGTTTCACACCTGAGCCACAGTGTGCTCAAGGATGGTAGTCTTCTCTTTGCTGAGCAGATTTTTTTGGTACATGATCCTGGAGCTCCTTGCAGTCATGTGCAAAGTAACTGTCATCTTCTAGACAGCAGAAATCCAGGCTAGATGAAACTCTTAAGTTTAGCTTCTCTGTCTTCCTGTATCTGAATATAGTAAGGTGCAATTTGATAAGCTGTATCCTGCGTTAGGTCATTAGCCACACATCTCTGCCATATGACATACAGATACTGGAGAAAAACCTTATCTCTCCTATTACTAAAAAACCTGAAAGTGATAGGGAATAGGTTACATAAAAAGATTCATGAGGCTGCAAAGGAAGGTAAAAGCACAAATTACTCTTGTTAGTCTGATTTGAGGGGAAGATAGCCACTCATTTTTGAAACTGATAATCAGTAGTAAAACCTCCAGCATGTAAGTGCTGTGGATAATTGTGAGGGTGTGAGCATTGGCCTACTCAGCTCTATCTGTGTTTGAGATGGGATGCTATCCCTGACATCTTGGAGGAAGGGGGTTGTGCGTTTATGGTGCAAGGAGAAGAGGAACAGAGCTGGGGGTTGTGTTTAAGCCCAGAAAAATAAATTAGAATACTCTTTCCACATCCCAGTGGCTTTTTTTTTTAACCTCGGCAGTTAGCTGTGTGCTTTCCTGAAGTACATGATGTTACAATAATCACTGTGTGAAGTCACAGCTGTAATGTTTTATAACAAGCTGTAAGTGCTGCAGGCAATTGCATGCACTCCAGAGCTTAAGAGGTGAATAGTATAGGAAGGACTTGAATCTTATTTCTCAGTAGGCAGGCCAAAGAACTCCTTCCTTCAGGGAAGTTTTCTTTCCAAGTACAGAATTTCACAAGTTTCTTAGATAAGCCTATGTCATTAGGCTAACTGACCTTTCTTCTTAATAGGTGGTGTGTATTGTTCAAGCGGAGCTATTTAAAACGCTTTAGTAACCCTATGTCAAAGGCTCCACAGCTTTAACTGTGCTATTCTACAGCTCTAAGGAGTATAGATTAAGGACAAATTAGCTTCTGAAATGCATGCAGGTTATGCAGTCATTCATCATTCAGCTTCTTTGAGAAACAGCTAGTGAGTGTTTAATGCAGAAGCTCAGTATCAGGCAGGAATTGTTATGTAAGTGCTTATGGATCTTAACTATGTTTATGCAAATGCTTTGCAGGAACAAAGAAAATTCATCACCCTTAGAATCAAATCAAATGCAAGGTAAAAATAAACCGAAAAAGAGGAAGATAGCCGAAACCTCTAACGTTATCACAGAAACACTGCCATCTGCAGAATCAGAACCTGTTGAAATTGAGGTTGAGATTGCTGAGGGGACAGTTGAAGTGGAAGATGATGGCATCAAAACACTTGAAGTAGCTTCTGCAGAGCAATCTATAAAGTACATACAGACAACGGGTACATCAGATGAATCTGCTTTGGCTCTTTTGGCAGATATCACCAGTAAGTATCGTCAGGGAGAGACAAAATGCCAGATCCAAGAAGGTGATAGTGCAACTGATCCCTCATGCAAACAGGTAGATGGTATTGAAATTGTTGAACTTCAGCTGTCACACGTGAAGAATTTATTCCACTGTGAGAAATGTAACCGTTCATTTAAATTATTTTACCATTTTAAGGAACACATGAAAACACATTCTACTGAGAGTTACAAGTGTGACATATGCAATAAAAGGTACCTACGAGAGAGTGCTTTGAAACAGCACCTCACCTGTTACCACTTTGATGAAGGTGGTGCCAGCAAGAAGCAAAGACCTGGCAAAAAAATACATATATGCCAGTACTGTGATAAGCAGTTTGACCACTTTGGACATTTTAAAGAGCATCTCCGGAAGCACACAGGTAAGAGCACTGCTATGGTCCTGTACTTGTGGCTTTGGCTCTAGCATTTTGTGGTTTTGCATGTTTTGGGGGAATAGAGAATACACTGAAGAGAACATGTGAGTCCCGAGTACTAGAAATACTTGGTTTCTAGTTGTAACTAAAATGCCTTTCTTTTTTTTCTTTTCTTCTCCATTGATATAAACTTTGAGGGATCGAGGGGGTTAAAAATAGGCACCTAAAACCAGAAAGCACTAAAGATTTTTTCAAAATAATTTCTTAAAACATGTTTTCTTCAAAAGTACCAAACTGAGGAGCTACTCTTATTTTCACAATTCTACTAGTAAATGTTTCTGTTGAAATATGATCTGAACTGTGAGCTTCTCAGTGGAATACACAGTTTAAAGGGTTTCTTTAACTAATAGAACTTCTGAGCAAGTGCCTATTAATGCATTAGGCGTAAAATACCCCCCAACAACTCTCTCTTGTACCATCTTGTTTGAAAGTTTCATCCTCGCTCTTGACATCTCATCTACATTTTCATTTTCTTTGTTAACTTATATAGCAAAACATTTCTAGTGACCATAGTAGACTTTTGTTACTGTAAAATCTGCCTCTGAAATCTGGATAGCATCTTTTGAGTGCAAAATGACTTGTGCTTCTTCTATATAATATGGGAGGTTAAGATGCTATTTCTTCATCTCACTGAAAAGTCTGTACTATCTGAATAGGTAATGAGCATTAAATAGCTCTCTGAATGTAAAATTTATGTTGTCCTGATCTTTCAGGTGTTTTTGTTTAATGTCAGTCATGAGTCATCAGTAAGAATTTAATGGAGGGTAGCAGTCCTATTTCTTTTGTGGCTTGCTGCTGCTAAAGCCTTTTAATTGGAACTTCTTTGCATCTGTGTATGGGATTGCTGAGTATTGATATATGACACTGTATCCAGTCTACTCCCAATAGCCCCTTAAAAGTTGCATTTATAAAAAGTCTTTAGCAAATCCTTATCCCCTATGAAGTAGGGAGTGTTTCTCCATTATGACCAAGTCAAATACAAGCTACTTAACAAAAGTCTTTTCAGAGAAAAGTTTGTGGCAGATTAACAGAGTAACCCAGATATCACAGTATGTTGGTTGCTGTTGTGATGAAGGATTTTGGGGATGAAGCAACTTAGCATATCATAGGAGATGCAGAGTACTTTCTAAATATTTATTGATACAAGTATAACACATGGAATCTAATTACTTTTAGTTCAGCATTTTGAAAGCCTTAAGCTTAAAGTTAAACTAGATAATACCATTTAACTTCTAAGGTCAGTGGAAAAACTCCCATTGAGCCAGAGGCTTTCTGAGTTCTTAATTCTGTATAGCACTGGTTGAATATGAAAATAAAATTAAAAGGCCAGGGAGAAAATGTCCTACAAAGTATTTGATCCTGTTGCTGCTTAATCACACCACCAGCAATAACATGACAGTAGCAATTGGAGCAGAAATAGACACCTTATCAGGGTTGGTAATTCTTTTTGATGTAGGAATTTGACATTAGTAATGCCTATTATCTTTGTCTCAATAAAAGAAAGGAAGGAGAACTATAGAGTTTATTGTGCATGCGTACAATGCCTTAAGCAGCTTCTGAATATCTAGAAAAAAAAACCTCAAAATTTTCTTGTGTGTCATGTAACTGAATGTACTAATAAAGTTATGTCCAGAACTTAGAGAGGGAAATTTTTTTGGCCTGATCTAATGATTCTCTTATTCATTCTCATAAAGGGAAAAAAAGAGATTTCACTTGCCAATCATAAGTAATTCATAGGACAGAAATTCTGCAAGGCAGCACTTAAATAATGTATATCCGAGTTCAATAGCTCTAATTTTGTCTTACACAAGAAGAGCAATTTCCTCATACAGAAATCAATCTTAAACGAAGCTACTGCTCTCAATATACTTGTCTAATCCTGGTATTTTGCAAAGCTTATATCCCCTAGCAGAAAGAGACACTGAACAGCTTTGATTCCCTCTGATTTTACTGGGAATTTTGACTGCTGAATATTTCTCAAAGTTAGGCCACCTTGTTTATTTTTTCTTTTTTTTTTTTCCCCCTTTTATGGAGAGTGTGTGTGTGCTCACATGAGTGAAGGTGGAAGTAAAGGAGTTGTGATGTGCTCCAAGCAGTCAAATTAATCATCCCTTGTCTGAAAACCCTGTAACTGAAGTAATTTGTATGCAGATTATACAAACTTCTTAGGAAAAAAATTAATCAAGGCCTTTGCCATTCTTCATAAAACTAAAATATGTTTTATAGGAAATGTACTTTGAGCTGCAAATAACATCTTCCATAGGAGTGAATAAGTGGTCTCTATTTACATACCTTGAATAAATGATCCCAAGAAGTTAATTTGATAAATGCTTGCCGAGGGGGGGATGGGACACCAAACCACCAACAAAAAAACCACACCCAACTAGGCTTACTGTTTCTCTCTAAACCAAATCTAAATAATGATATGGCAGCTTTATGGTTGAATCCCCTGGTATTTCTTACATATTAGGCAAATAAAGGTCACTGTGTTGTTGTGAATGTCTTTGCCCAAAGTAAATATTTTAACCCAGTCTCCTTCATGTGGCTGTAGGATTATAAAGGACCAGCACAATGTTGGACTATCTTAGGTCAGAATTCCTGTCCTGAGATTTTACTTACAATTGGTAAGTGAAATCTCACCTGTTCTCATAAATATAAAAAAGATAATTGTTAGATCAGGCCAGAACCCTCCCTCTTTATAAAATCTCACTTAGATGAGACTAAACCCGTAGTTGGATGACACCCAGGGGAAGAGAAGGAAGTTGTCGCCTTTAGCAGAGGAGTTTATCCCCCAGTTTGCCAGTGCATTTCTCAAGCTAGAGGCAGGCTGACATGCTCTCTGTGTTTTCCATCGCTGCTGTGACTAGTGCAGCTGAGGTCACAGCATTGATTTGCACTGTGCAAGAAGTCTCACAATGTCTTTTGGCCTTTGGATATCATCGCTGTTGTCTTTGAATTGTTACTTTCAGATACTTTTGGCAGAATATGTTGAAGATTAATTGAAGAATTTGAGTAAGAATAGAATAAATCTGTCCTTGACTAGGTGGTGCCTTGCTCCAAGTAACTCTTTAAATGTGACCAGATCACAGGGCAGGTGGAGGTCTGTGGTGTGAGTTTTGTTCTGTAGTATCCTCTTGGCTCACCAATGTATTTGGTTGCTCATGCAAAGTCCATGATTTTTGATCTACAAGACTGATGGCAGTTCAGCATCCTCTGCATTACCTGTACAACAGTCTCCAAAAACATAGCATTTTATAACCATTAAGGGGAATATTCCCACCATTTAACATTTTTCTGTGGCCTTTAGGTGTATAAGTGAGAATTATAGGCTACTTGTGGATTTATTTTGAAAAGCTAGTTAGGCACTTCTGAATAACTTTATTTCTGAAAATACAGGTTTATTGGCTTTCTATCACAGTAATCAATAACTACTGCATTCCTGAAAATGTAGGCTTTTAAACTTAATCTAGCTAGAATAGATTCTTGTGTTACTCACTGAACTGTCTCAGTCTCTTTTGGAGTTCATTAAGTAGTTTGTTTCAGTAGTCATGTTGGTATTGGTACCTCCGCAGATTAATTATCAGACTTTCAGAAGAAACACACTGTTCCTATTTTTTTGTACTTTAATTTCCTTGAATTTCATTGCATTTCTGCATGATGAAACTAGTAAGCAGAGACACCAGTTGTTCTTTATTACTACTTGATGATGATAATAACAATATACTACTTTGGATGAAGGTTTTGGTATTTGTTTTGTTTGTTTTAATACTGATGCATTGTTATTTCATGGTCATTCTGTGCCAACTTCTTTTTCTGGAGCTCAGTTTCAGCTCTCAAGCATAAGCTGTTATTGTTCTTAAAAATAAAATTTGGTATTATTTAAATACTTCCTTCTTTAATGTGTCATTGTATATACTAATGTTGAGTCCTTAACTGTTTATATTATCAGGTGAAAAGAGAGAAATAGCTGCTATTTCTTTAAGATATTTTATCATAATAATAATCTAACTTCCATAAAAACCTAAATGTATCTTAAATGGCACTGGTAGTTATGTTGCATCGTTTGTTTGGTTTTGTTTTATTTAAATGAGAGTTATGACTCCATGTTAGGTTTTTGCCCTTTTATTTACATAAATGAAGAGAGAGACATTTTATGTAAACTTTTTCTGTAGAATAATCCAGTTGGCCACATCTTTACAGCATATTTATCAACCTACACAAAAGGAAGAGGAGAAGGGAGAGCTGACTGAAAACTGGCTGGTTTTATATGCTTACAAATCCCCGTATCTGTCTTAACAGGTGAAAAACCATTTGAATGTCCAAACTGCCATGAACGTTTCGCTAGGAATAGCACACTCAAATGTCACCTGACGGCCTGTCAGTCTGGAGCTGGAGCTAAAAAGGGAAGAAAGAAGCTGTATGAATGTCAGGTGGGTAATGGAAGTAGCAGCGTCTGAGGCTAGATACCTCCTTACTGTACTGAAGGAGTGTGGGAGTACTGAGCAGGAAAGGCAATGAGAGTGGGTTTATGTTCACTAAATTTTAAAGATTGCATTCATACACAACATGAGGGTAAATTCTTATATCTAAGTAGTTCCATTTAAAATATGGAATTACCGATATGGAGCTTTGTAATACTTTGTTAATCAGAGAGATTCTTGTGGGTAGGTAAGTGTTCATCTGCATCTTACTGATCTTTCTGCTTCCTTTTCAAGGTTCTTGATGCACTGACCTAGGCCTTTCCTGCTTGTGAGCATGCTTCACTAAAGTCCAAAATACAAAGTACTAATTTATTTCCTATTTTATTATTCTTCTGTTTAATGACAATATATTGGCTTTGTCTGGAAAGTCATTCCAACTTATGACAATCTGTAATGTCTTTTAAGCAATATATAAATGCTGTAGATGGATAGCTAGGGTACTTGGTCACTATATGTAGCTGACACTTGAAAAGCTGTGCAGAAGAATGTTACTTAGCTTTTAAAAGTTGATTCTGAAAAGCTAGAAAATGAGAGCTGAGGTTGGTTGTAGCATTGGATGAAAAGCTGTGCATGAGCCGGCAATGTGCACTTGCAGCCCAAAAGGCCAACCACATCCTGGGCTGCATCAAAAGAAGAGTGGCCAGCAGGTCGAGGCAGGCG